GTTCTGACTTCCTCACCCCTGCCAGGGTGATAAGATGGTTTTCAAGTCTGTTTCCCCCTTGTCAGCCAAGAGCCATTGCCCATTAGGTACTTGGTCTTCATATTGGTTCTAAGAGGGAGAAAGGACAGGGTTTGGGACCCAGCACTGCGCTAGTGAAAGCAGAGCGTGGGGAAGTGGACTCTGGGCAGAGACGCTGGAGGGCTCTCAAAGGAAGCTGTGCAGGTGCTCTGGGGAAGAGCCCACAGAGGTGAAGCTTTAGGAGCCATGTGAGGCCTGGGTACAGCATTCACTCGGTATTCCCAAGGCCCTGTTGAATCACCAGCGCCCCCCTCACCCCACGCCACAGACACCATATCCACTTCCATGCAACACAGTGCAGCATGTGCAGGAGCTGTGCCCGTGCTGAAAGGAGATGGGAGATGGGAGCGCCGGTGCTAGTGCAGGTGTGTACCGCAACCCCAGGGCCGCTGGACATGGCACCCAGAGGGTCCTGGATCTGCCAGAGGTTGGCCTTCCTTGTCTCAGCCCAGGTGGGCTGGGTGGAAGCACCAGGCATGTGAGCTCTGGGCGGGCTCTTCTCTGTGGGCAAGCAAGGAGGATGGGGTGAGGGTGGTGCACAAAAGGAAGCATTAATCTCGAGCTGCTGAAAAATTCATAGTTTCAGTTTCCTTTTTGGGAGCCTGGGTCTCTGCTCGGAGGACATCTGTGTATAGCTGCCAACAGGGACCAAGCAGTTCAGCCTGGCTGGGGTGAGTCCAAATTCTTTGGCAAGTTGGGAAGGCAGAGAAGCACCAGTGTCCCCAGGTCATAGACGAGCTCAGAGCGCCAGGGGATGGGCCTCTGATCCACAGTGCAGCAGCAGGAGAGGCTGCACTTGTGTTCTGGTTTGCATCTGACTGCTTCCCCCTCCCCAGGACCTTAAACACAAGTGAGAAAACCACAGCGATAGGACACAGTGCTGCTCTGAGCACAACTCAAGTGGAACGAGCCACAGCCAGGTGACCCTGGGAAAAGGGGATGTGGTGGTGGCCACTGCTTTTGAAAATGTGGAGGAGTGACAGGAGGAGGAGGCCAGAATAAGCAGTGCCCACCTATCCTTGTGGCCTGATCACCCTGAGGCTGCAATTGTTGTGGAGGGACATGGGAAAAGGGGTTTCTTCTGAGATGCAAGGTTATCTTGTATCTTTCCAGTGGTTATCTAACCCACACTGTCCTTGGGCACCTGGTCTGTGCCAGGCTCTATGGGTAACTTCAGGCCCTGAGAGGGAACTGATCTGCCTCGGGCCCAGGGGAGGTAGCTGAGCAGCGAGACTGTTAGGAATTTCAGCAGCAGAAAACAATGGGAAGAAAGGCCTTTACTGCCACTGAGCAGGACACAGAGAGGAGATGGGGGTAACCTCTGACCTCTGACATGAAATGAAGGAAGGCTGCGACTTCATGGACTTTTGCTAGGGCCAAGCAGAAATGGTAAAGGGGGCCCTAGCCTGGGAGAACACAGTCTGCTGGTGTCCAGGCAGCAGGACTTGGGTGTCTCCTCCTTCCAGGGGAGCGCAGGAGAGCCTGGGGCAGCCAGCAGGGAGGAGCTGGGCCTGGCATATGGGGAAATAGGGGAGGGCAGGGCGGGATCCTGGTGGACAGGGAGAGGTGAGGCAGGAGGAACTGCCACAGGGAGGAGGGCCTGGGAGCTGGGTTCAGGGCTTGAGCTTGGCTTTGGCAGCTCCTTATAGATCCCTTAGGACGAGCGCACTGCTGTAACTCCTGGGTGTTACAGCACTAACCACAGAGAGGAGGAAGCTGTGCTGGAACCTCTTTTCCATTACCTGGGAAACCCAGAACACAGCTGATAGGAAAGGGAGGCTCCCTGGCTGGGCTGAGGCTGTGGCCAGGAAAGAGCCAGGCAGGTGTCACCCGGCCTACTTCCCTTCTCCTCCATCGATAGCCTTTGCCGGCTGTGAGCAGCCAGCAGGCTCAGCGCAGGACCTTGCTCACTGTGTGCCTCACTGGGGCCAAGCTGAGGTTCCAGGCAAGAGTCCCAGGCAAGACCGAGAGAAAGAAAGAGACCTGGAGAGTGTTATGGGTCAACTCTGTATAGGAACCAGATCAGCCAGATAGAGATTTGAATAGAGCCTTTTATTTACTGAGCTCAGGTCCGTCAGCCACTTCTTGTTGTGGAGAAGGAGAAGGCTGATCGGCCCCGAACGTAGGTAGCAAGGGGGTATTTATAACAGAAATCACATCCAGTTTGGTAAGCAAACTTGTCATCTAGTACAGAACAACAGAAACTGCATTCATTTGACACAGCTGCAAACTATTCATAACTAAAAGGTCTTTTACAGCTTAGTGATAAGTGCATATTTTTATAAGGTACATCTTAAGCTGACTATGTTGCAGAAGATGGTTGGGGAGGGAGCTTGTGTTAGCTTGCTGCCTTGACAAGAAACAGTTCTTTATTGTTGAACAGCCTTGAGCCGAAAAGGAGAACACATTTCTTAGAGCAGATAACAGGAAGCACAAGGGGTTTTTATAATTTTTCGCAATTAAGGCACAAAACTCTATTAACCCTTTACAGAGAGCAGACTCAGCGACAAGGTATGGAGTCACCAGGACCCCATCTTTCTTCTGGACCCAGCCTCTATCTCTGATCACAGTCCAAGCATCACATAACCCCACAATTCTGAGCTGTCTCCAAGTCAGACAGGAATAGACTTAGGAAGGAGGTGAAAGAGTAGGCTGACTGTCCTGTCACACTTGTCCCTCAGAACAACAAGATACCAAGAAATTGCTCTGTTAAATTTCTCTTGCAACTCACTGGTTAGGCCTGCATCACATGGTCACTGCTGACAGCCAGAGCTCCTAGAAGCAGACACCTGGATGTCCTGTGACCAAGACCAGTATCAGCCAGGTGAGAGGGGAAGAGGGTGGCATTACACTTGGTGGCCAGGCATCTGGTGGCCATGGGAGCCTTATTGTCCAGAGACAAAGTCACAGAGCTGATAGCTGGACTCAGATGTGACCAGACTTCTGGTCACAAGACAAAGGACTTGCTGGCAGCTGTCCTCATCTTGGATAGGCCTCACAGGGACACCTCACACCTGCGTGGGCTTAGTCTTTCCTTCTCATGTGACAGAAGTCTTCTGTGTCTCTGGAGGCAGTGTCCTCCAGCCCAGGCACATTCTGGTCATCCGTGGTGCAGGTGGAGTTCACTGCCTTCCTTGAGGGAGAAATGATGCAATTTCACAACCCACAGGAAGGGGCTGCTAGAAAGAACCCTTGGGCTGGGTGGTGGAGGAGGCTCTGCACTGTGCTGAGAAAAGTGAGTGGTGCTTTTCTCTGTGGAGATCTCAATGGACTACCTGTGGAGTGGGGGACCAGGACCAGGAAAATCTGTTCTTGATGACAAACAAAAGTCATTCTTTGAAGCCAAAAGAGAGTGCATCCATGGTTATAACAAAACACTAGAGGCAAAGTCACTTTTAAAATTGAGGATTACTTAACATTTGCAAGCTTGTGATTGAGATTTTAATTTCCTCTATATCTCTTTGACTCTGCCTCATGCGATCTATTTCTTTCCTGTATTGCTCATTCAAGGAATCCATCATTTTTCTAATCTCCTCTATTTTTTTTATCAATGTCTTCCTTAGAAGCAGTTATAAGAAAGTGTTTCACTGCAGTGTTTTTTTCAGATTGGGTTTCCTCCCTATGTTTCTGTAGTTGCTTCTTTACTTCAGATGCTATGAGTTCTGAGAATTCTTTTTTTTATTTCAGAAAAGAATTGTGCTGAGTTCCTCTATATCTTTCTGCTGTTGCTTATTTATTATTGATGCTATTAATCATGCATTTGAGCCGAGCTAGTGTCCTCTGCACTTGTTCTGGGTGGGCATTGGGTTTCCTCCATATGTTTCTGCATTTGATTCTTTAGTGCAGATGTTATTAATTCAAGGATTTCTTTTTTCATTTCCAATCTGAGTTCCTCTGAACCTTTCTGCAGCTGTTTCTTTATTTCAGAAGCCACTGATTCATTGCTTTCAGCTGTATGATTCCCAATTTGTTCTGTGTTAGTGTCCTCTGCACTTGTTACAGGTGGGCTTGGGTTCTGAGGTTGCATTTTGTTCCTTCTCGTCATTTTGTGCAGCACTGTCTTCTGACCTTTGTTGTAGAGCTTTGGTGCAATTATAACCTTAGCACGTACTAAAGTTCAGGTGCAGATCTACAAAGTTTGGATTTATCCAGCTGTGCCTGGCTTGGGTCTGGCTGCTGTGCTCAGCTCCTTCCTGCTGCTGCCCTTGAGGGTGAACCTATTGTGCCCCTCTGGCAAGATGTTCTGCTCCTGGACTAGCTGGGTGGTTCTATCCTCTACACTCTCTGCAGGGATTGCAGCTTCAGGGTTTCACCCCAGGCCTGTATGCCAGGCCTGAGCTGAGCCTGGAGGGGACATGGTGGAATAGGGGGGAGAGGCAGCTCTCCCACTCACTCACCGGGCCTGGGCTGGGTCTAGGGGTTTCCTGAATGTGGCAGAAATTCCTACCCTGTGTGCAGGGTGTGTGGGGGTACTACGGATTGATGGGGGGCATCCCAAGCAGGTGGAAGAGGGTTTCACCCATGCTGCGCCTGGTCTGGGACCAGTAGTAGGTCCTGAAGGTGCACGGTAGCCGGAAGCTCTCCCACACACTCACCGGGCCTGGAGTAGGACTGGATCTGGGGATTCCTGGAACGCGGCAGAAATTCCTACTCTGTGGGCGGGTGGGGGAGGTGCTGCGGAGTGGTGGAGTGCGTCCCAAGGGGATAGAAGAGGGTCTCACCCACGCTGCGCCTGGGCTGGGACCAGTAGTAGGTCCCACCAGCGCAAAGTAGCCAGAAGCTCTCCCACACACTCACTGGGCCTGGGCTAGGACTGGGTCTAGGATTACTTAGCATTTGGAAGCATAGTATTCTAACACCACAGAGCCATCCTCTCCTAGACCTCGAGGAGGACCTTCTCGTGGCTCCTTAAGGAAGTGGAGGGCGTCCCAGAGTCAGTGCATGGTGGAGGCAGAGTCCACACAGGAGACTGCTCTGCTCCGCTGTTCTCATAAAGGATGAAAACCAACGTGAGCGGCAGCCTGCAGGGCAGACCAGCAGAGGGCGCTGGGCAGCCAGAGCAGTGCAGAAGCAGGGAAGGGCAGCTCTCAGGCACCCCGCGGAAGGGGAAGTGGACTAAGAGGGACATGGGCACAGCGATCCCGATATGGATTTGGAATGAGACACATCACTGACAGTAAACACGCGTGCATGGTATGTATTGTGCGCATTTAAGGAGCAGAGCATAGTCATCAAAACAGGGGACTTGCTCCTCAGAACGCTGAGTTTGAGTCCTAGCTCCTACCCGTCTGTGAAAACTTGGGAGCGTTACCTGGCCTTCCTGGTGGTTCCCGCAGCTTTAGCAGCAGCCATAGGTGTTATACCCCCAGGAACGTGTGAGCCCTGAGAGCCGGGGAAGAGGCTGCACAGTGCAGACCCTCGATCAACACCACCCAGGCTGGTCAAATGGCTTAGCAGATTAAAGCGCCTGCAAGCAGGAGCAGGGGGCATGGGGGGAGGGTTGACCCCCCGGGCCTGCTGTGCCCGACCCGCCCCCGGGGGGCGCTGAGGGGGCAATTCAGACTGGGTGTGGTGGCCCGCGCCTGTAGTCCCAGCTCTTGGGAGGCTGTAAACACGTGGATCTCGAGTCCAATCTAGTAATGACACCCTGAAAACCCTGTAGACCCCTCTCTAAAATTAAAAAAATAAAAAATACAAATACAAATGAAAACACAGTAAACAAGTCCCAAGGGCAGCCGCAGCAGCGCAGAAGCAGGAAAGGGCAGCCAACAGCATTAGTGAGCAAGGGTCCCAGCCCAGGGGCTCAGCAGACCGTGGCTTCCCACCTGGGTTTGCTGTGTGGTAGTCTGCTGTCTGCACGGCTGTCTCCTCAGCCCATTACCCTCCTCTGTTCCCTCACAGGACCTGAGGCCTCTTCCGGGCAGGGGTGAGGGCAGAGGGAGCTGGAGCAGGGCAACTGCCTTCCTTTAAAGGGCAGCCCGGACCCTGGGGGACAGGGTACACCCTGGGCAGTCTGGTTGCCCTTTCCTGCCCTCATGGAGGGAAGCTTGGGGGACCTGGCCTCACCCCACCTTTTCCAATTTTGCCCCCCTCACCTCTTCTTCAATGTCATGATGTGTTTCCTCCCTTGCTCCAGCCTGGATGCCCTGAAGAACTGAAACAAAAATGCTCAGAGGCACTGCAGCTGATGTCATGGGGACTGCTGGTAGCAAGGACTGTGTCCCTGCCACAGGTACTGGGCTTCCTCTTCTCTGGGGCACCTCTCTTCATCCCCCACTGAGGTGCAGCTGGAGGCAGAGCCTTTATGCAAAATAGCAGAGGTGGAAAGGGGGGACCCCCCCCCAGCAACCTTGGGTCTTCTTCCCCCCATACACACATTCCCATGGGTTCCCTTCTGAGTCCTCTCCTCAGGGACAGGGCCCAGGTGCTCACCTCCTCTCCAGCCAGCTTCCTACTCTGGGCCCCAGGTGGGTCTGGGAGTGCACCACAGAGGCCCCTCCTGCCTCTCCCAGTCACTGGCCCTGGCGCACCATCTGCCAGGGAGGAAGAGGCAGCTCCTTCTTGCTCCTGCACTGTGGGCTCCAACTGCCCCTATTGGTTCAGGAGGAAGAGTGACCCAGAGTGCTACTGTGCTTGAGCCCAGTGTGCTGTTGCCCCTCACATCTGTCAGACCTGGAGCCCCTCCCCTCCCCCACCAGTGGAGAATAGCATCTCCAGGGTATGGGGGGACCAGCTAGGGCAGGCTGACCTCCCTGCGGGTGCTCATACCTCTCTCCTGGACCCTGCTACTTCCATGTGGGACCCCACCCTCGCTTCACCCCTGGAGCTGGGTCCAGCACCTGTCCTGCCCTGCCAGTGACAGGCAGCTGCTCACAGATGTGACTGCTTCCACACTGAGCTCATTCCCATGACCTCTACAAAAGGAAAATCTAGGGTCAAAGGAAACAGGTTCCTTCTCCAGTTCCAACCTCCTTCCACCAGTCTTATTTCTTCCCCTACATGCAGCAGCTTAGAACCACGTCCACTCCTCACTTCTTCACCAGCCTGGAGAGCAAACTGTGCCTAGGAGTGGTGGGGAAGCACAGGGAGGGCGAGACTGGACCTGGGGTGGGGCTGTGGTGGGTGGGCTCCTGGACAAAACCCTTGTTGCTTAAAAATTGGGCGAGCTGGGGCCAGCACCTCCTGGAAATTGTGTTTCCTGGGCTGGCCAAATAGCTCAGTGGATTTAACCACCTGCTTAGGCAGATGCAGCAGCTGATCTGGGTTCGCTCCCGCCTCACAGGGAGCACTGATACAGCGATTGAGACTGGGCTTGGTGGCACACCTATAATCCCAGCTCTAGGGAAGCTGAACACAGGTGAATCACTACGAGTCAATCTACGTAGTGAAACCCTGTAGACCATGCAGACCTTGTACTAAAATACAAAAAAAAAAAAAAAAAAGACAAGAAAAGAAAAGAAGTTGTGTTTCCTCCTGAGACAGAAGCAATAGTTTCCAGGGCTACTGGCCAATTTCTGGAGTCTTGACAACTGAGGTCCGGCTACTCATTTAAACCCCAACGGATAAAAGTGATCGTGATTGCAGGGAGGAACCTGGGAGCGTGCAGTTCTGGGGGAAGACAGGAGCACCTGCGTCTCTGCCTCAGAGGTGCTGACGTGAGCCCTGGATTCTGCAGACCAGGGGACAGTGGTGTGCATGGTCATATGTCTGTATCAGTGGGGTCTGGTGTCCCTGTATCAGACTTGGTCAGGCAGGGATTGCAAGCCAGTGGGGAAGTGTCCACCTCGCTGTAGTTTCCATCTGGACACCTGCAGGCCCCAGGGAGGGCCACTGCTTACACAGAGGCAGCTTTCCTCTTCCTGGCTTTGGGCGGCCCCTTTCCTGACTGGTCTCAATGTGCTTCTGACATGAGAATAGTGTCTCTTTTGTGAGGACACAGGAGAAGCACATTTTGTTAGGTTTCAGGGGCACACACGCCTATATACTACTACGTAGGCCCTGCCTGCAATTCACCTCCAACCCCGCACACACACTTTCTGGGCGACTCAGGAAGAGCTCTGCTCCCCACTGACCTGGGACCACGGACAGCCTTTCCCTATTCACCTCACTCAGGGCAACACCCACTTCTTTCCCTGTCAACCCATGCCTGCAGCTGACCATCGCGAGCAGCAAGTCATGCACCGAGTGCTCTGCACTTTGTTTCTAAAAGAGCAGAAACTCTCTCTAATTGTGTCTATTGACGTACACAGTGGAAAAAACTTTGAATGTCCTCAACACAAAGAAATAGCCAATGTCTGAGGTGATAGTGCAGAAACAGCCTTGATCCCGCTGTCCCTGACAAATACATACAACTGTTAGGTGTTCGTTAAAATAAACATTTGAAAAACAGTTCTAAAAGCTGAGAAGCTCTGGAGTCCTGAGCATGTGTAAGCACTTCTCTCTGTACGCAGGGACAGTGCATTTCCTACAGCAGCACGGCTGCTCCTAAATGCAATTCTGTCCAGCGTTCTGGGTGCAAACCGAGCTGCCCAAATCAAATTTCCTCATAAGCTCAGCCTGGAACCTGACCATTCAAACTGATCCAGTTCTGACCCAGCTCAGTTTACCGCCAGAATCGTGGAGAAAATCAAGTTTATGAACTAAGCTACCACTGCCTATGTGATTTCATAGAAATAATTCACAGAAGCAACATGTACCTAAGGTCCACGTGCTCTAAAATTAAAAATTCTATTTCCTTTTGAAAGTGCTGTTCTTCACCCTATCAGTGAATATCCAAATGCACTGACGAGTTGAAGCTCACAGTGGGAACTTGCAGGCACACACCATGAGACACACAGTGGGCACGGGGTAGGTGACCCCCTGCTCGCAAGTTTCCTGCTCCTCAGGATAAGGTTCCCTTTCTGAGCTCTGTGCTGAAGGCACTTCTGGTGCATTAGTCCCCTCCTGCCACCACCACAGCCTCCACAGGCTGGTAAGTTAAACAAAGACGCCCCTTCCCTACTGGTTCTGGAAACCAAAATCCATGAAGAAAGGCGGGTCAGGACTGGTTTCCAGTCAGCGTTCTCTTCTGGTCTGCAGAAGGAGGCTTCTCACTGTATGTGCACATGGCCTCTCTCTGAGCCTGGGGAGAGGGAGAGAAGAAGAGTCACAGTGTGTGTGTGTAGGAGAGAGAGAGAGAGAGAGAGAGAGAGAGAGAGAGAGAGAGAGAGAGAGAGAGAGGACAAATAGACAAGACAGAGACAGAGACACAGAGTGACACAGAGACACAGAAAGTGACAGAGATGGGGAGATTTGTTCTTTTAAGGACACCAGCCCTATGGATGAGGGACCTGCCTTCACGATCTCACTTGCTTGCAGTTCCCACACCTCCCTATAGGCTCTGGCTCCAAACTCAGCCCCTGGGGTTAGGGTGCACATATCAGTTTGGGGGACACATTTGGGTCTGTAACAGTGGCCTCTCCATTGAAAGTGTCTGATGAGACAGCAGCTCCTAGGAGGAACATTAACATCAGTATTCAATTTACACGCCACTCACCGACCCTGTTCGTTTTTTTCCTCCACCAGACAGGGACAGGTTCGTAAAGGCTGTCCTCAAGTGTATGCTGGACACACTGAGCAGTGCGGATCTGCACCAACTCCTGACTGAAGGTGCTGCCTGGAAGATGCTGGTGGAGACGACTCATTTGACCAGGTCACCTGAGTGGGGAGCCCAGCAGGCTGTCCAGATGCCCACTGGACCGGGGCTCTCAGGGGCAGGCTATGGCTGAGGTTCAGCATACCTCCTCTCTCCAGTCCCGGGGAGACATGATCTCCCTTCACCCCTGGCAGGGAATGGCCACAGGCTGAAGGGAAACAGCACCCACTCAGCAGCATCCCTCTGCCAGCTGCGAGTTATGTGGCCTTTGCTGGTCCTTCACCATGCTCTGCCTTAGTTTCTTCATTCCTCGAGTTTCCTCTTAAGAAAAATAAGATAATATGTGAAAGTGCATAGCCTGTGGCTGCCACACCGCAGGGCTGGAGCAAAGGTCACTGTGACTGGAAGGAAGGGAGAGAGCAGGTCAAGGCCCCTACTTGCAGACAGGAGCCAGGAAGGACTTGCATGAGAAACTCATGAACACAGACCTCATTAGTTGTTTCTGAGGTTCTGGCTCAGGTATTTATCTCTGTGTCTCAGGAATTGTGCCACACAATAAGACAGTTGCTTTAATAATATTTGAGGAAGTTGCTTGCTGTGTTTTGTGTAGTCCAGGCTGCCCATGAAGTATGTTACCCAGGCTGGCATCAGACTTACCCTGTTCCTGCTGCAGCCTCCCGAGTGCTGGGAGAGCTGCTGCGTACCAGCATGCTGGCCCCAGATGCCCAGAAGCCTCAGTGCAGGAGGTGAGATCTGGGTGGACCCTGCCAGTCAGTTAGCTCCAGGGCTGCAGGCTTGTGGCCAGGAGATGCAGGATGTTATGTGTTCAGTGGGAGGAGCTACTCAATGTGCAGGATCTTGGAGCGCTGAGAGTCAGGGAGGAGAGAGAGGTCCACAGGAACCTGCCACAGGGTCAGAGCTATCTCTGCAGACATGTCTGGGACAGAGCAGTAATAACAAACTTGGGGTTTCAGGACTGGACACAGTGAGAGAAGGCGGGTGCTGAAGAATCAAACATGGGGAGGTCCCGGATAGGAGAGGATGCAGTCGGCAAGGGCTTGCTTTCTATCCTTGCTGGGACCCCGCCCAGATAGCTCAGAGGGCTGTGGTGGTGGGTGCTTGTTCTCTTCACACCCTACTGGTCACTGAGGAGCTCTCCACTATCATTTGAGACCTTCTACCATTCACACAGGGTAGCCCTGAGCATTGGGAAGGCAGTGGCTTAGTGACAGAGCCCTCAGAGGGAATGATAGGCAGCCGGATTTCTGCAGTTTGTGAATCCTAGGACACTGAAAGTCCCAAGAACAGAGGGGACTTCCTCCATTATGGTGAGCAGTTTTGGGGCTCTGAAGCTCTAGGTTCAGAGACAGAGCTCAAGGTGTCCCTATTCTCTGCACATGGCCTTTGCCCAAACTCAAGACAAGTGTCACTGGCTAGGGTGTCCTTTCTGTTCATGACACCAACAGCAAGGTCCTGGTCACAAGGTTGGTGTGTTCATGAGCTGTAGGGTGGAGAGAGGATGGAGCCAGGATAAAGAGCTGGGTCTCCTTCCCAATCAGCTCTGCCAGCAGCTGGAGCCATTTAGTTTTAGCACAAAATGCAAAGACCACCCGACTTCGAAATGGAGATGGTGGGAGGCCAGCTGAACTTTTTGACCTCTTTGGCATCAGAGGGTTTACTTAGTATAACTTATTATTACTCAGAGTTAACCAAATTGCAACATCCAAAGGCATAGTCTCCAAGACCAGCCTTATTTTATATATTTTTTAAAATTTTCATTTTGGCCGGGGAAATGGCTCAGTGGAATAAATGCTTCCCTGGCAAGCACAAGGGCCTGAGTTCAATCCCTGGTTCCGCAAAATAAAATAAAATAAAATTTTTATTTTTAGTACAGGGTCTATAGGGTCTCACTACACATATTCAACTTGTAGTAATCCTCCTGTTTTCAACCTCCCAAGTATAGGGAACCAGCCTTATTTTTGACAGCAACTGAAAATCCAAGAACTCCTCAATATCCTATGCAGGTGTGAAAATTTGCTAGAGAGAGTCAGAGAATCACTGAAGATATTGATTCCACACTTCCAGTGCATCACAGGGACAGGCGCAGGGTAAAATCCATTGTGGAAAGGGGTACGGAGGCCAGAATCAGGCGAGTTTCAAGTGTGAAGTTTGCGTTTTCTGCAGGATGCAGTGTGCACCCACCTGTGATGCGTGACAGTTCACAAGGGGCTGCCGGTCTGCATGGCTCAGGCTGTGAAGGAGCATTGCTTGGATGCAGGGCCGAGCGGGCTCTGACCCACTGGGAAGCCAAGGCCAAGGCCTCCTTGAGCAGAGGCCCTAACTATACTTCGGTCCTGTCGTCTTCTCCAGGCTTCAGAGCTCACCTGGAGCTGCCATCTGCTCCCAGGGGAGGTCGATGCTTTTAGCCCGTAGTTTCTCCGGAAGTCAGAAATGACCCCACAGCCCCTGTCATCCATCACATTGTGAGGATGAGCTCGCATTACAGGAAATTCCTGGGAGAAGGAGCATTTACCTGACAGAAGTTTTCTGACTTTGAAATATTTGCAGATACATTAAGAGATAGCTTGAGATAGTGACTCAGAACAAAACATGAAATTTTATGTTTCTTTATAGTTGCATAACAGTGTGGATATAATTTTATATGACTTTGGAACATGGTTCTGCTTTGAGATTGGGTCAAGAATGGAGCTTTCTACTTGTGGCATCATGTCAGTGCTCCAGTTTTCTATTTCGGTGTTTTTTAGATTTATGTTTGTGGAGTAGGACTGCTTAACCAGTCTGGTTTCATGGCCATGTCCCCAGGCAAACACAGACACTCCTAGCAGTCAGGACATTCCAGGGGCCTCCAGGTCACTCCCTAGTAGTGGAGGGCAAAGCGCAGATTGCTCCATATTAAGGCGACCTCCTCCCTGTGCAGTGAGCGTCCCTCACCTCCAGCTCTCCCGCAGCGCTCCTCTGCTCTGCGCGCATCTGCACAGTTCCTGCTCCACAAATGCTGTGCTCTTCCTGGCACTGACCTCACATGAGGTGGTTCTTTATCAAATACCCGCCACTAAAGAGCAATGAAAAGGATGCTCAGTCCCGGACCCCTCTATGAAATAATGGTATCCAAATCCTGTTTCCATCTGAAAGAAAATTCTATGCATCTGGGCAAGGCTTTTCCACTTGATTATAAGGAACCTCAGTCACGTACCCAGGGCAGGTCTTACAGAGCACACTGTCCAACCAGACAAGCTGCCTTTCTTAAACTCTTGACTTTTACTGTTCCAGGAAGGAGGCCAATGCTGTGCGTAAGGCTCTGATTGAGACGACTGAGTTTGAGGCGAGGGAGAGGTTCCTGAATGCATTTCCTCACGTGAAAAAGGAGCTGGAGGAGAGCATAGCCAAGCTCTATGCCCTTGCCAAGAAGGTTGACAAGGTACACAAAGACTGCACCATCACCAAGGTGGTGGCCAGCTCCAGCAGTGCCATCTCTAGCATCCTCAACATCCTTGGTATGGCTTTGGCACCTGTGACCGCTGGTGGCAGTCTGGTGCTGTCAGCCACTGGGCTGGGGCTGGGAGCAGCGGCTGCTGTGACTGGTGTTTCTGCCAGAATTGTAGACCACTCCTACAAGTCTTCTGTGAAAGCTAAAGCCAAGTGTGTGCTGTCGAGCAGAGTGGACCCAGTGGAGGAGGTTGTCCAGGGTGTGGCTCAGGCCATGCCCAATGTTGTTTCTGCAACCACTAAGTGCATGCAAGCCTTCCAAGGCATTGAGAAGATCATCTATGCCATGAAAGTGGGCGTTTCCCATCCTCAGTTATTAGCTAATGCCAAGCCCCTCATGAATGCTGGCAAAATCTCACTCCAATACGGCAAGCAGCTTCCAAAAGCGCTTGGAGGCACCACTGTAGCAATGTCCAATGTGGCCTGGATCACAGGTGCAGCAACTGCAGGTGTTGTTCTTCTGCTGGATGTGTACAGCCTTGTGCAAGACTCAGTGCATTTGCACAGGGGAGCCAAGACAGAGTCAGCTACAGAGCTGCGGCAGCAGGCCCAGGATCTGGAGAGAAAGTTGGAGGAGCTCACCCAGGTCCATGAGACTCTGCAGCAGGACCTAAGTGGTGCTCTTCTCAAGCAATGCAGAGCTCAGGGGAAAGGTACATTTCAAATACCTGGACAAAGATAGGAAATGCTGTAGGTGTAAAAGAGGGTGATATCAAGTCGACGCAACTTAAAGCGATTTGACACAGATCTCAGAGAGCTTGTTTCTCTGCTGTTCATAGTCTGCCATCTTCCCAGAAATTGGAAGTACCCTGACCTTGCTGCAGCCACCTTGAGTCCTAACTGAGAGCTTCATCCCTCAGAAAACTTTGCCTTTTTTGCCTGCCTTATTACTCTCCAAAGTGCAGATAAACAGAACCTTTGTTTAGTATCTGGGATTTGGCTACCAGATCCGAATGCTATAAGTTCCAGGAATATGCGTGTTATTTAGCTGTTATTTTGTTGCCAGCATGAGAGAAGCCAGGGACATTTGAGCTTGCACAGTCTCCCTCTGGCAAAGCTTAGGAGGATCCAGCAGTCTTGCTTCTGCCCTTGATTGAGGTTCTGCACAGACACTCCATAAAGGTGACACTCTAATTCTGCATCTTTTTGCATCTTTCTTTAGTCTGACCACATACTGTGCCTTTGGCACTTGGTTAATTTGTACCTAAGTTTCAGGGAATAATCAGTTAACATTTGCTATATGAGAACATCAAACAGAAAGAGCCAGATAGAGCTGAGATATTATCCTGTACAGCAGCCCCTCCCCAACTGACCGAAAACCTGGGGTTCAGAAAGTGTGATCTCTTGACACCCACCTGGTTTG